GGTGTCCTAAGCACCTTACATCTAATATCTCCTTTCCTGGTTACAGTCAGTGTGGTGACTGTCCTTGTGTTGTTACAAGTGAGGCAACTCAGGCATAGAAAAGTTAACTAACTTGCTAGGATCATGTAGCAAGTGCGTGGCAGAGCTGGGATTTCAACTCACTGTCTGGCCCCTGAGTCCATGCTCTTACTGTCCATACTTTAGGAGAAATTGAAAAGTTGTGAGGCCTTGTGACTAATAATAATGTAAACTTGATTTCCTCAAATGCTCCCAGAGCCAGCCACCTGAAGTCCCAATCTCAGTCTTGCACTGCCATTAGGGGCCTCTAGCAAGATCTCTGTGTGACCGAATTGATCCATCTGCAGAGTCTTAGAATAGTTCGTGCAAAGAGATAGGAAAATGCTTGTTCAGCATAAAGTATATATTGATCAACACTATCTAAATTCCTAAACCTTTTGGCTTTTTATTTTTGCAGTGAATGAGTTCATTGTCACTAGAGGCAAGTGTTAGTGGTTTTGCTAACTTTCCCAAAGTTAAGAATTAGAAAACTTAGTAAAGACATTATTTTAATGTGAGCTTTTCTTCCAGTTTCCCTCATTGTGTAGAGACTTGTCTATCCTAAACTAAACTCTATGCAATAATGATAGTAACTAAGATGGTTTAAATGTTTTACAAATGTTTTCATTTAATTCTCACAAAACCCTTGGAGGTAGGCATACTGTTATCATTTCCATTTTACAGATGAGTAAACTGGGGCATCAGGAGGTTAAATAACTTCCCTTTGGTTACCCCCAGGTCGTGTGGCTCTGGGGTCCATTCTCAGAACACTATGGGACAGTGTTTCTTGGCATCATTCTTTGTTGGAAGCAATAGGATGTGATGGAGTTGGACAAGGGATTGGGTCAAGATGCTTCAATAGACCTACCTACAAGAGGTCTCTGTGGGGGTTCTGATAAAATAGTAAGGGAGGACCATGGGGCCTTGTGGGTAAGGAGACACCAGAGGTTAGAATCTGGGGAGTCAGGTTGGACCAGAAAGAGCTTTAAGATGTTGGATCTGAGGTGATGCATGGCAGGCAGCTGTCCCTGGGAAGTTGGCCCTGACAAGAGCTGAATGTGAGTAAGGGGGGTGATGAGTGAGTAACCAGTGAGGCCTTGAGTATTCCAGGATGCTTTCATAGAAGAGAGGGGGCTTGATCACCTTGTCAATTGATCTATAATACAGTTGACCCTTAAACAACAAGGGTTAGAACT